CCTGGATGTAACTTTCTTCATGTTTCTTTCACCTGGTGTTCATTTAGATTCTTAGATCTGTGGCTTTTTAGTTTGTATCAAATTCAGAACACTTTTGGCCATCATTTCTTAAAATAAGCTTTCTCTCCCTCTTCCCCCGCACCCTATTCCCAGACTCCAGTTATACTTATACCATACTGCCAAAAGTTATCCCATAGATAACTTTCCAGTTCCCTACCTTGCTTAGGTCCAAAATAAAATCTTCTGGTTTCAATTGGTCTTCTAGGTTACCAAAATGGATAATCTACCTTGTCGGATTCCATATTACCTCCTCATTTGCAGCTCTAATTTTTCAGTTTCCTCTTTATTTCTGGTACCCAGGTATTTCTCTTTTTTTGCTTCTTTCCTTCTCTCATGCTAAGTAATACTTTTTAAATATCTTTGTTATATTTTATCTAACTCTAAGTATTTATATTGAGAGAATTTCAAGTTATCTTGGTCCATACCTTTTCAGGGATACATATTTCCCTGCCTACCAGGTTTTACTTATCAGGGCAAAGAGCAAGGTGTACATTCTGACCCGGGCATTCAAGAAGAACAGATAAATACCGTATGTGTATGTATGTATGTGCATACTTGTGTATGTATTTGGTAAGTATTTGAAACAAGCCTAACCACTATAGACGGCTTCAATTTGATAATTTAGAATTTTGCATTAGTCTTTGGGTATTAACTGATGATTACTAATTTTAAACACTACCGAGGAGTAACAAGTTACACCTAAATTCCATTTCTGGTTAAGCTGCTCATTTAGGAACCATTTGACAGCTCAGAATGTTTTTATTAATTTTAATGGGTTGTAGAAAAATATGACTCAATGGCTACAGTCTCAGAGAACTATACCGAGCCACCTACCTTGTCATGGTGGGGAAAATACATAGACTTTGGGGTGAGAAAGACTAGGTTTGAATTCTAATTTTTGCACTTCTTAACAAGTCATTATAATACTCGGGATAAGAAATATATGTAGATAAACATTACTAGTTTGAATACTTAGAGGCTCCAGAACTTCCATTCATTCATCTAACAGATATATATTTAATGCTTGCCATATATAAGATGGTACCCTAGATGCCATAGGGAATAGAAAGACATATCAAATTGAGTATTTTCCCTCTCAGAGCTTACAGCTCAGGTCGAGAACAGTGAGACAAATATATAAATGAGTGTAGCACAAAGCAGTATGAGAGCAGTGACAGGTATGCTATAAATGAAAGGCTCCAGTGGAGGCTATCACTTCATTCTGAGCAATCCAGCTTCACATTTTGGTGTGATAAAGAGTATTTTGATGCCAAATAGCCCAAGCCATAGCCCAAGCAGCACCTGAGACCTATTTCTGAACCTGATTATCCAGCTGTTCTACTTCCACACAACATACATGTATTTCTAGTCACTTCGTCTAATCTGTCCACTCAGATTTAGCAAGGGGAAGCTCCACAAGGACTATATTTGTACGACACAGGAGAAGTTCCAAGAGGCACATCTATAGAATATGAGAACAAGTTTGTACATGAAATGTTAACCACAACACCTGGAATTTTCTTTTTAAAAGTCTAATTGTATAGAATAATATGGGGGAGATGCCTGAGCAGTGTTCTTTAAATCCCCAGATTGGAAATGACAGTGAACAGGACAATTAGAGAAACAAGTATAAAATCTGTAAGACAGAAAAGAAGAAATGGTAGCCATTCTCAAGCCACTACCAAACACATAAAAAGCTCTGACCATGATAAGTTTAGAAAAATTCATCCTGAGCCACATGCCTGAGCTAGCCCTTCTATTTGCGATAGTCAGGGAGAGCTGTGAGCAAAGGAAAGAGCATTGGATTGCAGCTAGGGAGAGGAAGCTGTCAGGAGACCTGGATTCAAGTCTTAGCTCTGCCACCTAATGGGTAGTCTTGTATAAATCCTTTATCCTCATATGATTTCAGTTTCTTCATCTATATAGTAGCTCTTTTGTACATGTTGGTCTCTTATATTTCTAAAAGTGTATGAAAAGCTGGTAGATTTTTTTTTAAGATTTTATTCATTTATGTGACAGAGAGACACAGTGAGAGAGGGAACACAAGCAGGCGGAGTGGGAGAGGGAGAAGCAGGCTTCCCGCTGAGCAGGGATCCCGATATGGGGCTCCATCCCAGGACCCTGGAATCATGACCTGAGCCGAAGGCAGACGCTTAACGACTGAGCCACTCAGGCACCCCAAGCTGGTAGATTTTTAATGACAGAGATGACAGAGCAGGAACTATTCCAGGTGGAAAGAGAGTGACAGTATTTAAGGAACAAAAGGAAAATAATGCAAAACTTAACACTGAACTCTTCATAGTAAGTCAGTAGGCTCCATAAAATAATGATGAAGGTGATCCAAGGATGACTATCTGTGTCTTCCCTTAGTAAACTATGGCCTGTCTCTGTATCCTCAGTGCTAGTGTGATGCCTAATATAAAAGGGGAGGGATGGGGGAAAGGAAGGAAGCAAGTTAGCTGGTTCAGGAGGTCCTCTCACAACAGGTGCCACATTTTGTGGTGGAGATCCCTGTATTTAATGGCCTTTCATATCTGCAACAGTCTGTTTTAAAACAGAGCTGTTTACTTAGAATGCTTTTATTATCAACTATATTTGTGTTCAAAGGGCTTCCAGCTGTGGTAGCTTTTAGAAGGTCCCTTTGTTGTGTGTACATAGTGTCATAACATGTCATTTCTGCCCAGTCAGTCGATTTCATTGACTCAGATGGGGCTGCTTTGTGGATGAGCTGTCTTCTTCCTTCTTAATTTTTACTGCAGACAATAAATATTTTATGCGTGGAAAGACTATTTATTCAACAAATGCTTATTAAACATCTCCCCAAAAGTAGGCAATGTTTGAAACACTTGGAATATAGAGGTGTATAATATAGACAAGGTCCCTACCTTTACGATGCTTACAGTGTCAGGGGGGAATCTCACATTAAGTAAATGATTATATGATAATTAATTAATTGCAGTTGTGATAAATGTTTTAAAGGGAAAGTACAGAATGTTACAAGAGAAACTTAAACTAATTTGGAGGGCCGGGGTCAAGAAAGTAATGTAAAATTAAAATTTTAGACATCCTAAGTGTTTCTCCATTTGAAATATAGAAAGATAAGATTATTCCCATAGGTTATACTGATTGTATTAGGGATTTCTGAATTTGGAAAGATAGACTTGTCCACAGAGGCATAAAATCCTTAGAAATCCAATCCTTTAATTTAATAAATGACTGAAAAGGGAGATGTTATTTATCCTAGAACACACAGCTTGCTACTGGCAGGGATTGGACTTAAACACAGATCTGCTAATCCCCCCTCCATTACCTCTCCTCAGTGACTTAAAAAAATAAAGACATTATATATCAAATATAGATCAGCCATGGCCAAATGAACTATTAAGTGGCCATGGTGTACAAACTTGGATATTGAGTGGGAGAAGGAATTCAAAATAATGAATTAAGCAAATGCTAATATAAATAGAAATGCACAAAATATACCTTATCAGGCTGATTGTATCTGGCCATAGTAAAACCTAATGTATATACCAAAGTGAGAAATACCCAGCTGGAATTAGTGAAAATATATTTAAAGGTACATGCTTCTATTTCTCTAAAATATAAATACTAATGGCTTAGTACAAATCTCCAAATAGGTGTTTTTAAAACCTATTTTTATTCGTGTGTAATATTATATGACATGTAAAGTATCCTTGAATGCTTTGCAGCCTGAGTGGTCTCTCAGGTAGTTAAATATTGTTCTGAAACTGTGTTCCACCATATAATTCATATAGCATACCCTCTCATCATAGTACAGCAATTAGCTTTAGGCCAGCAACTTGTAATTCTTCCAGATTTTTTATTTAAAAGATTGGGAATCAGTGAAATATTACTATTTATATCAGAGATTTTGGAATTAGTTGAATCATTGAAACTAAAAGGAGATTGAGACTTCAGAGGCAGCCAGTTTTGAAAAGGTATCAGTGAGAACACCTAAGTATATACTGATTTGGGGAGCCAAAAACTTAGAAAGTACTAAGTTAAACCATATGAAATTTCCATTTTTAGAGGTCAAAAACAGTCAAATATTGGTGACTTTAATAAGATTTGCTCAGCTATCACACAAAATGGCCCAAAAGGGAACCTATATTCTAATGTCAGCAGGTGTGGCTATTAAATTTAAGTACATGTACATTGGCTATACTTCAGAATTTAACAAATGAGAAATTCTGGTAGTTGAATGAACTTTTAATTTCATATGAAGTAATGATTTAAATGGAGGTAGATGACACAATCACTTCAGAAGCTAAAAATGTTTGAAATCTCCATTGGATAACTGCTTGGATAACTGCTAAGTCATCCACACTTCATGAGTGTGAGCGTTGTGTGGAATACTTAGTTCAATAACCAAGCTTCAGTGGTGTGATGTGGACTGTAGTTAACCAGGGTATTTTGCTTTCAGCCACTTCTTATGCTGACCAGAGGCTTACTTTCTAGTCCTTTACTCTCTTCCAGTCCTTAGCCCCAGTGGTGACAGTCTCCAAGTTTATCTCAGAAAAATCAGGAGAAAAGGGGAAGGGAACTAATCATTGTAAAAATGAACTGTCAGGTGCTTTGCAAGACAGTTTATATATTATTGCATTTCATTCTCACAACAGCCCTATAAAACAAATGCTATTTCTATTTTACAGCTGAAGAAACTGAGATCCAGAGAGGTTAAATAACTTGCCCAAGGTCACGCAGTTTATAAGTGGTAGAGCTAGGCTCCAGACATTCTTATTTCACTATCTGCTGTGCTGCTCTTCTGGCTTGTTTGCTTATTTCTAACCTATATACTTCAGAAGTGCCTTATTTAATTCTAATAAATTCACACAGGAGTAAGACAAGGGGATTATCATTGTTTTCTATTAAAAACCTAATATATTAAAACACATTTGAATCTTTTCCTTTCTTTTAAGGATGAACGTGAAGCCAGAGAAAATGTGAAGAGAGAGCAAGATGAGGCCTATCGCCTTTCACTTGAGGCTGACAGAGCAAAGGTAGGTTTGGTCAAAGGACTTCTGAGATGAAGAATTCAATCCTAAATAGTCTTTTATTATTTAATTGCCAGTCCTTTTATCACTTTGATCCCTAAGAATGTTGGGTTTGCAATGGAGTAAGCTAGATTCAATTAACAGAATATAATTCTACCCTTGGTTCTTAAAGCATGGTTCATTTGACAACAAAAAGTTTTTTAAGAATCATGAAATATGAAAACAAAAATGGGCCTAATATTTATTTTCCTTGTTTTTTAATCAGTCTTTGGTAAAAACCTAGCAATGTTTTAAAAGCTCTTCATGTGATTCCTACTGTGCAGTCAGGGTTGAGAACATTGAGAACCACTAATTTATTTAATATTTCTTGAGTACCTGCTTCTCTACTGGGCATTGAAGGAGGGGGAGCGAATAAGCCACAGTTTCTGCCCTCAAAAGAAGGCTCACAATATAGTGTAGAATAGATTAACTCAAAAACACAGTTAGCTATAATACTTACGCAGGGATCCTAAAAGTCATAAGGGAAGCCCTGAGTTTTGTGAGAGATTAGTGAACAGGAGTTTCAGTGGAAAGTCTGTTCCAGCTTTTCCGGAGATCTAGTAAGTGGGAATCTATTGGAGAGGGTTTCATGAAAGAGGTTGTATATGTATACTAAATAGAAAAAAGGGGTAGGAGACAAGAGGTGGTATATGCTAGCAGCAAGGAGCCAAAAAGCATGGGTGCATGACAGAAGCTGATGTGACTAGAGCTTGATATTTGGGTACAGGAGAAGCGGCAGAAAAGACCAGAAAGGAAAACCAGGGAAAGGTCTTCTGATGGATCTTGAATGCCACACTACACAGAACTACCCAGGTGTTTTGTATGGGTACTCAACATGAGCTGAGAGCTATACTTTGTTGTTGCTTCCATTTCCATTCTTGTTCCAGAAAAAAAATTTCTATTATCACAGTGCTGGGAGTGACCTCTTTTTTTTTTTTCTTCTCCTTTTTAAGTAAACCAGTGTTTATTGAGTGCTGACTTCCTTTCTCTTTCATTGACAGAGGGAAGCTCATGAGAGAGAGATGGCAGAACAGTTTCGTTTGGAGCAGATTCGCAAAGAACAAGAAGAGGAACGTGAGGTAGGCATAATTTCAAGTAACATTATTCAAAAGCTAGGTTTATTTCCACTGCAGTTGATACTGAGGCTGTTAATATTTCTTATGACTTCTTTCCACCTTTTCCAGACTCATTTTAGTATGGAAAACCTAACCTTTCCTTAAAAGAATCATTCCTGCTCTCTTGTGTGGAACTCTTAAAAAGCTTGACCTTGTACTAGATTTCATGGTGTTCTGTTGTTTTCAATTGCTTTTCCCTTTTCTTACATGACCAGTGCTCTCATCCCTCTTGGATATTGTTTCATCCCAAGAATACAAAGACTGTATTTTCTGCCCTTCCCCAGTCTTCATTTTCCCCACCAAAAAACACTGTGAGTTACTTTTGTGACATCTTGCACTGGGCCCCTATGTATGGGAAATCCATTTAGCATGGTGTATTTTTCCCCCCAAGTTCATGTCATGTTCATAGTAATAGAATTTTTCATTCACTCATCTTGAAAATATTTTTTTGAATACTTAGTACATCCCAAAATCTGTTAGGGGGTAGGGATACAGATGTGGGTCATCCCCACCAGGA